TGCTTTAGATAATATGACCATTCTAGCAATATTTATCCTTACAATAAAATAACACTGGATATCTTTTTTTAATGTTTTCTTTCATTTACTCTAGCAATATCTTATAATTTTCAGTATATATATGCTTCCCCACCTTTGTTAAATTTACTCCCATTTAAATCATCCTTTTGTGGGCCTCCCCGGTGGCGCTGGGTTGCGCTGGGTTGCGAAGATGCCCGCGGCCTCTGCGGCACCGGTTCGATCCCCAGCTGCTCCCCGGCCACCGAAGGAGGGTCCCACATGGCGCGCAGACCTCTCCTGCCGCCCGCTGCTCCCCTCAGCAGTGTACTTCGGTCCTTCTGCCTGCTCTGCTCCCTGCTCTGGCTCTGGTGAATTCTCTCACCCTCCCGCGCTTCTGACTGTACCCAGTGCATGTATAAAACAAAACAACAAACAAACAAATAAATAAATAAAACATGCCTCTAATAAAAAAAAAAAAAAAATCATCCTTTTGTGGTTGTAAATGGGGTTATTTTCTTAATTTCTTTCTCTTCTAGTTATTGTTTACATGTAGAAACAATAGAATTTTGTATATTGATTTTGTATCCTGCCACTTAATTGAATTCATTTAGTATTTCTAGTAGTTTTATGTTAGTCTTTCAGATTTTTCTCTTGGTATCATCATTTCTTATGAAAATAGTGATAGTTTTATTTTTTCTTTTCCAGTTTGGATTATTTTTTGTCTTTCACTTCCCTAATTGCATGGCTAGGAATTTCAATACTGTGTTGAATAGTGGAGCTGCAGATGGACATTCTTACCTTGTTTCTGATCTTAGGAGAAATGTTTTAAGCTTTTCACCATTTAGTATGATGTTTGCTGTGGATTTGCTCTTTTCGCTATATGTTATGTTGATATAGGTTCCATTTATTGCTATGTTATTAACTTTTTTTGATCACAAATGTGTGTTGAATTTTGGCAAATACTTTTTCAGCTTTTGTTGAAATGATCATGGAATATTTATAAATATATATATATATATATATTTGTTGATATGATGAGTGGCATCAGTTGATTTTTGCATGTAGAATTATCCTTGCATCTCTGGGATGACTCCAACTTGGTCATGATGGGTGGTTTTCTTTTCTTTTCTTTTCTTTTTTAAAGATTTATTTATTTATATATACAAGCACTGGGTACAGTCAGAAGGGTGGGTGGGTGAGAGAATTCACCAGAGCCAGAGCGGGGAACAGAACAGGCAGACTGATGAAGTACACTGCTGAGGGGAGTAGCGGACGTGGCAGGTGAGGTCTGCGCGCCATATGGGACCCTCGCCCGGTGGCTGGGGATCGAATGGGTGCTGCAGAGGCAGTGGACAGCTTTGCAGCCCAGCGCTCAACCACTGCCCCACCGGGGAAGCACCGTGATGGGTGCTTTTCTTAAAGCACTGTTAAATCAGCATGTCAAAATTTTGTTGATTTTTTTCATTTTTTTGTATATAGGCATTGATACTATTCATTAATGATCTTTTTAATTTATTAATTATCTTTGTAATTTTGCCTCTTTCATTTCTGATTCTTTTTATTTGGATTTTTTCTCTTCTGTTCTTTGTTAACATGTTTATCAACTTTGTTTATCCTTGAATAGAAACAGTTCTTGGTTTTGTTGATCTTTTCGCTAATATTTCTGGTTTCTATTTAAGTAATTTCACTCTGTTTTTTAAAATTTCCTTCCTTCTACTGATTTCCGGTTTTGTTTCTCCTTTTTCTATACCTTTCAGATAGATGTAAAATTAGATTGTTTGCTTGAGATTTATCTTGTTTCTTGTATTGTTACATATTTCTTTCTTAATACTGCTTTTAGTGCATTCTACTAGTTCTATTGGATTTTATCATTTTCTTTAGATTCTAGATAACTTTTAATTTTTTCTCTGATTTCTTAATTGACCAAGTAGTTACTTGAAGGCATTTTTTAGTCTTCACATATCTGTATCTCTATATTTATTTTGTGGTTACCATGGGGGTTGTATCAAATGTCCTATATATAAAATAGTATTTTTTATGTGTTTGTAGCAACTCATTATAATTTGATTATACAGATTCTGAACTTTTCTTCTTTCCCTTAACATTTTGTTTTTGTCTCATATTATTCATGTGTGTACTTCTGATTTCATATTACTATTTATCACCTTGCTCAATATTTTATTATTTTCACGTGTAAGAACAATTTTCAACATTTATTTTAGGTCTGGGAGTGGAAAACTCTATTAGCTTGTATTTGTATAAGAAAGTTTTTTTCTTATTCATCTCTGAATGATAACTTTTGAAGAATAGAGTAGTCTTGTCTGGCAGTTTTTTGTTTTAGAATTATATATGTCATTCCACTTTTTTCTAGTCAAATGTATCTTTTGAGAAATCTGAGAAAAGTTTGATTTGAAGTGCTTTTGTATGCTGCACTCTTTTGTTCCTAGTAGTAAATAATATTTTTCTTTTCTTTTTTCTTTTTTTAATTATTTTTATTTATTTATGCGTACAAGTTGTGGGGTATGGGCCAGAGGTTGTGGGTGGGAGGTGGGGGGCGGAGAGAGGATTCACCAGAGACAGAGTGGGGAACAGAACAGGCAGATTGACTGAAACACACTTCTGAGGGGAGCAGTGGGGGAGTCAGGAGAGGTCTGCTGTGCCATGTGGGTTAGCTCCCTGGCTAGGGAGTGAATTGGTGCTGCAGTGGCTGCCAATAGCTTCGTAGCCCTGAGACTTTAACCCCTGCACCACCAGGAAGGCTCTTCTTTTATTTTTGACTTTTGATAAGGCAATATGTCTTGGTGAAGTTTGCTTTACATTTAGAAATCTGGGTATTCTTTTGTGTTGCTAGACACTGATGTTTAATTCTTTTCTTAGATTTAGGAAGTTCTCTAATTTATTTGTTTATATTTTGAATAAGTCTCAGCTCCCTTCTCTTCCTCACCTTTTGGAAGAATACCCATCATCTTTATGTTTTCTCCTCTTACAAATAATTCTTGCAGTTTCTTTGTGGTTTTTTTTGCTCTAAATCCTATTACTTTCACTTCTTCCACTTGAGTCATTTGTATATTTGTATTTTTCAATTAATGAAATTCTCTCTGAGATTAAGTAGACTTAATATGTTTTCCATTTTTGTTCTAATTCCATTCATTGTCTATTTTGTGTCTTTTTATTATCTTCAGTTTAGAGAACTATTTTTTGTTCCTGGATCTGTTTTCTTGGGTCTTGAACCTTCCTTTCTATGTTTGATTGTTCTTCTATGACTTATTTTAATTTTTTTTTAAGATTTATTTATTTATACAAGCACTGGGTGCAGTCAGAAACGCGGGAGGGTGAGAGAATTTGCCAGAGCCAGAGTGAGGAACAGAGCAGGCAGACAGACAAAGTACACTGCTGAAGGGAGCAGCAGGCAGCAAGAGAGGTCTGCGCGCCATATGGGACCCTCGCCCAGCGGCCGAGGATCAAACAGGTGCTGCAGAGGCTGTGGGCAGCTTTGCAACCCAGCGCTCAACCACTGCGCTACCAGGGGAGGCCCGACTTATTTTAATTTTTATGATTATGCTAAAATCTTTGTTAGACCCTTAAATTCTCTTTCCTTAATATAGTTTCAGACTTCTAGCACTGTCTTAAAGCTTTTCCATCTTGTGATCAGCTATTCCTTACTTTCTAGGTATGCATGTTGCCTTCTTTGCTTCTTTTTGGATTTGGGTGCTATCTCGTTAGTTTTGTTTGTCTCTTTGTTTAACTGGGCAGCGTGTGAGGGAGGAATGGGAAGTTGAAATCTATATGTTTGTTCTTAGTCTTGAAGGAAAGAAAAATGTATTCTATAGAGAGAGATTCACACTGCCTCTTCTTTCTTCAGAGAAAACTCTGTTCGCTTCTTCACAGAACCCATATTCCAGGGCCTAGCAAGTTCTCTCTGTGGTGTGCAAACTCCCTCTGTCTTTCTCTCCTCCCCTCCATCCAATCTCTCTCTCCCATTACCCATCAGAAAGATGGGAAGGGGCTCAGCCAACACGCTGCCAGTAACTGGATTATCCATGACTGGAAGAACATCTCAGGAGGGAATGTACATGTAGATCTTCACTCTGACCCCACTAAAAGGATTTATTGCATTTAGTCCATGTACCACACTGTATCTTGTTCCCACCTTGTTCAGTTGAGTGTAATCACTACCACCTTGGCCATGACTGTGTCTCTACCAAACTGGGGGAAATATATTTGGTTTAGTCCCCCTTATCCTCAATGACCTGATGAAATTTCCTGTTAGCAAAACTTAATTTTTCTTACTTACACTTATGAGAGAGGTTTGTGCAAACCTACCTAGCCACCATCTTGTGTTTGTACTCTGATAAAATTTCTATTGTTTTGAAACTGAAATTATCTTCCTATTCCACACCAATGTTATCTCAGCAATTTCCCCCCATATTTATGTTGCTATTTAAAGTGGAACACAAAAGGGTAAAATTGTATGATTAAATCTGAATTATAGAGAAACACCTGTTACTTTTGTTTCTTTTTCCTATTTGTTATAGTGATTACTATACTTCCATGGTTTATGTTGTTCACCTATGAGCATATTTTTTTTTTTTTTTTTTTTTTAAAGATTTATTTATTTATTTATTTATACATGCACTGGGTACAGTCAGAAGCGCGGGAGGGTGAGAGAATTCACCAGAGCCAGAACGGGGAGCAGAGCAGGCAGAAGGACCGAAGTACACTGCTGAGGGGAGCAGCGGGCGGCAGGAGAGGTCTGCGCGCCATGTGGGACCCTCCTTCGGTGGCCGGGGAGCAGCCGGGGATCGAACCGGCGCTGCAGAGGCCGCGGGCAGCTTCGCAACCCAGTGCTCCACCGCTGCGCCACCGGGGAGGCCCATATGAGCATATTTTTATATATAGGCTCAATGAATATTTTTTTTGATTCATTGTGTTAAAAATAACTATTTAGAAACATTAGGTCAATTTTGAGACTTATGTTTTCATTTTGTTTGTTTTTATAGGCTCAAAAACAAAGGAAGGAGTGGTTCATGGTGTGACAACAGGTAAGCTACATGGTGCTTCTATTCGGGGCTGACATTGAAAACAGCTGGTATTCATGAATAGTGCTCAGCACTATTCATTCAGAATGTAATTGTAAACAACCATTGCACCAGTTGAGGAGCTTCCAAATATGCCAAGGGAACATCAGCTTTGTTTAATTTTAATTATTTATAAAATAATTTCAATTTGGTGTTTACTGTAATTAAATAAAACACAATGTATTCAGCTATCCAAAATGATGACTCTGAATTGACTAGCCATGTTTAGTTTATGGTGCTATAGCATTTAAGTATTGTGACCAACTTAATAGTTTGTATAGAATACAATAAAATATTCTGACATTAAATTACAATGACTATTCCATATCTTTGATGATTCAGGGGACATTTTAAGAAACACTTGGGATAATCAGTAAATAGTTTATTGTATTTATTTCATTTGGCCAATTTTAACCAAGAATTTCAATAGTTAATTAAGAAGATTGCAGTAAATAAATAATAACATGATGAAAATTATGGTGGTAATGATGACTATGAGGAGGATAATAGTGATAGAAGTAGTAAAAGAAAATGAGAACCAAAATATAGCAATATTGTGAGCATATTATCTGTAGTTGAGTTTCATATTGTATGTGTTCCAATCTTTCTGACAGGTGCTGTAAAACAAGAGATGTAATCAGAAGTATAATTCATATGATTAGAAAGCAGGAATTATAATATGTCTTAGAAAAACAACATGTTCCTATTACTAAACTCTAACATAAAATGGGAAAAATCAAATGGAAGTATTAATACAGTATCAGGGTTAAGAGTATAAACAATGGAGTCAGACATGTTTCAAATTTCTGCTTACCCCTTACTGGCTTTGTGATTTTCTTGTAGATTCACAGCCTCAATATGATTTACTTTCCTATGTAGTTTTTATTTCTTTCCACCATTCCATTAACTGTGGTATGTGTAAGTATAGGTCTTTAGAAGTTGATGATTAATGGAAATGATATTAAAGCACTGTCCATCCACTGTCTTTTAATCTGTTGTTGTGTTTGTTTTATCCTAGTGGCTGAGAAGACCAAAGAACAAGTGACAAATGTTGGGGAGGCTGTGGTGACAGGGGTGACAGCAGTTGCACAAAAGACAGTGGAGGGAGCAGGAAGCATTGCAGCTGCCACTGGCTTTGGCAAAAAAGATCAATTTGGCAAGGTAGGTTACATTCAATTTACATTATGTTTGTAAACTTGTGAGATCACAGTGCTTTTTCATGCATGGTAAACAGAGATATGATGCTAACTTGCAGGAGGGCCAACTAACTCACTTCATACAAAAAGTACTACATTAATATGTGTATATTTTTTGAGAATTAACCCAGATAAATATCATGCAAATATCATGTTTCATTTTTCTGGAAGGAAGTTGACAAAATGAACCTTGTGATAAATTCCAAGAGGAAAAGGGACATTTCAGAAAGAAAGGGTGTTTTCAGGTTAGCTATTATGAGTCTTAGGATTTTTCTTCCTTGGTATATAACAAATCTCTTTAGTATTCTATCTTTTAATTTTCAAAGTGAATATCTTGCACTTGATTTCTGTCTAGTGACGTTGCCTATTAAATGGCATATTTGCTTGTCACATAACCATTTATTGCCAAATACATGTTTGTGAGAAATGAGTCTTAAAATGCTATCGTAACAACATGTGAGGGGTGAGGGGAACTTCTGCTCCAAATTACAATGTAAAACAACATTACCTCAATAAAAATTAAAAAAAAAAATGGATACCAACCAGAACCCATAGCTTTGGGGTGATTTTGGAATTCTCAGAATAATGTTGACTTTATATTTCTTTATGAGTGTGAGATGCTAGTAGGTTTATAGAAAGTATATTGTGACTATCATATAACATAGCAAAGTAATACAAAATGGAAGATGAAGTTTTAAAAATTCCATGACTACAGAAACAGAATGATGATTTTGTGCCCTGGACTCTTTTGATAATGTAATAAAAACTATGGAAACTTTTACCAGAAAAATATATTCTCTCAGACATATATTGAAGTACTTAGTGAGATCTTTAAAGTCTGTCGACAGATAGAATTCATGATTTAGACCAATACCCTGTTTGTGCAGGTGAGGAAAGTGAAATCTATAAATAGTATCTATAAATAAATAAATAGATTTATAATAGATTTATTGTATCTATAAATAAATAGTACAGTCATACAGCTCAATGTAGCAGGTTGGATAGTAGTAGCAGTTAAAGTAGTACTTAAAGTGTTTTTCAACCATAATATAATTTCTCTAACTACTTTCTCAAAATTTAATTTGTTAGGGGTTTTTAGAAGTTTAATTATGCAAAGATGTATTTAGATGGAGAAATATTGGGAAACCAAGAAAATATGTACCATCCCCATTTTGCCCCATTAAGGCATACAGTGTAAATTACAAATAAATCTTAAAAGTTCATTTCTTTAAAAAATGCTTTTTACCCTTCTAAAATATTACTATTTATTTTAATATTTTACAGTTGAAATTTATATTATATGACAAAATTAGTCATTTGGAGATACTTCTCTTATGGGTAAAGTTTCCTACAAATTTTTAAAATGAGAATAAAGCTATAAAACCTAGAAATTGCAGCTTTATTATAGAAGTAATGCATTGATCTGGGAGTTAGAATGGCTTATTTTCATCCCTGCTCTATCTCTGGCTGACTGGATGACTTTTTGTATATCTCTTGACTCTCCTAAAATGAGGGAATTATCCTGGAAAATTGTTAAAGACCAAAATAGCAATAAAGTTCTGAGTTTCTACAGTAACTCATGAAGAATAGTAAACATTCATGGTGGCCACATTTATGTATGGAATGCCAAAAATTTAAGAAACTTTAAATAAAATAATTGAATTTCTTCATTATAAAATTTGAAATTAATTACATCATTCAGACTGATAAAAATGATTATGGTGAATGTAAACTATTTTGGCTTTATCTGCTTTTCTAATAGAGATACTCATTCATCACTTAAAAAGGGATAATGTCTCATAGTGTGCCAGAAATTGCTAAAATACTGAAGTTAAGGTGATGAACAAATCTTACACTGTTTTTCACTTCATTGAGCTTGTTGTTACTAATTATAAAGTGTGGTAAATGCTATGGCATACATAAGCTAAGAATGTGTAAAAGGTGACTTGACCCATCTATTATGGGTAGGGGTAAGGGAAAGTATCGCAAACGCTCCTGTGAAGAAATGACTATTAGTAAGAACTTGGAGGTGAACAAAACACATACCAAGTAGAGGATATCTCATGACAAATCAGGAGAAAATGACTGACTGGAGCCAGAGAAAAAAGGAGAAAGATGCTGGAGTAGAATGCAGGATCCATGAAGTAGTTGGCTATGTTAAGAACATTAATTTTTATAATTCCCAAAGAAGGCAATGGAAAAAAATCCAAAAAATACATGGAAAATGTTTATCATCAATTTTGATAATGGAGATGGAAGTTATAACCACAATGAGATGTCACCTCCAACCAAAATAATGGTATATATTTAAAAAAAGTCCCAACAAGAAGTGCTGGAAGGTATGTGGGGAAAGTACCCTATTACACTGTTGGTGGGAATTTAAACTGGTGTGGGAATTTTGGAAAATGATCTGGATTCAACTTGAAAGACAAAAAATGCAAATACCATTTGACCTAGTAACCTCACTCTTGGGCAGCTAGGACATGGAAACCACCTAAATACTCACTGATAGAGAACTGGATCAAAAAGATGTGGTATATCCACACAACGGAATACTATTCAACCATAAAGAAAAAAAATAAAATGTCCTTTACAGCAAGCTGTAAGGTAATTAAGTGTAGTAGAACAAGTCAAAATGAAAAAGAAAACTATTGGATGTTTGCATAGACATAGACATGATTCAACAAAGCAAAATACTTATAAAACTAGTGAACACTAACAAATGAAGTGACACGTCTGAGAGGAGGGAGAAAGTTTCAAAGGGGTGTAACTGATGGTGGAAGGAAAAAAGAGTGTTAATTATTCTAATACAGAATTCTTTTAAAGCTTTTTCAGCAAAATGTCAGGTCATACATTTTTGTATTGAAAAGATGTTATGGCTCGAGTAGTGGGAAATATAAAAGTACTGAAGAGAGGAAACCAGCGACCAGCTAGTGATCTGTGATGGAAAGAATGTATGACTGTGTATACCAAGGTGTTGGTGGGGAAAGAGGAAATAAATGGGTTAATTCAAAGACTTTTAGGAGAAAATATCAATAAGATTTGGTAGTGTATTTCATAAGCATAGAGGATTGGTGGGGGAGGGATTAAAAAAAAAGCTACCAGCTCTTAGTTCATAGAAGTAGATGAATAGTGTCTTCTCTTTCTGGTTAGTGGCTCTCATGAAGGTCAGGAGTGCTTCAAGAGGAGTTACAGTGTTGGTTTTCAACCCCCAGAGTCCATTTGAGGGAATTTGACCCATCACTCCATGATTGATGAGAAGGCAGACCTCACTCCTCCCTCACTCCCTCCCTTCCTCCCCAACTGTTGTGTTTTCTTCTTTAAACCAAGAGTTCTAGTATCATATTTTTACTTTTTTCTTATTTGGTAAATTTATCCTTGGGACATGCTTTCTTTGCTATACTCTCTCTTGCCTATTGATGTTAAAAGAAAGATAGGACCAAAATTCCTAAGTATTTTTCGATTATATGAATGAAGTCATACTTAGTAATAACTTCTAGTTATAAGGCATTAAAGGACAAATAGGTTAAATTAAATTGTTTTACTAAATATTAGTGTATCTATTTAACACATCAGACTCATATATCTCCTGATCTGTATTTTTACTTGTGTGTTCACAAGAGGTTATGAGACATGCAATTCATTACCCAAAGATTATTAATTTGCTTGGCACAGTTGAAACAGGTTACAGATGCATTAACAGAGGTATTCCAGATTTAGCTTCACAATAGTTATATTGTTCAGATATAAGTTATGTTTCCCACTTCTATTGAGCACACATGATTTGCTGGTACCTATAATACTGTATAAAGAAATTAGTTTTAGTAAAATTTTCAGTAGAGCCACTATGGTTACAATGTACAGCCAGGCAGGTAGCAACTAGAAATTTGCTCTGTACCAGTGCTCAACAGCTCTTGCTTGTGGTTAATGCTCAAATAAATCCTTGCCGAACAAGCGAGCATCTCTCTAATGCTATGAATTCCATAAAAGTGTTGTATCTGTGGTGTCCCTGAGGTCTGTATTTTTAGTTTTCTGGATTTTATAGAAAGGGAAAGTCCTGAGTAAATTATGAAACTATTGCATGGTAATTAGTCCAGCAGTCAGCTTCATTACCACATCCCATTTAGATACTGATCTACATGGAGATTAATATTTTGTACAAGAAGTAAGCTTGAAATATTCATAGCCTCACATGCTTAAAATATTCGGTTCTTCTAATTTCTTTTATTTTTCCTTCAGAATATGAGTAAATTTCCTAAACATTGGCATTTTGGAAAAATTATATCATATTGTAAACAGTTTTTACTGTCCCCATCACAGCTATCCAGAAAATGCTTATATACAAAAGAAAGTATACTCAACAGTCCTTCCTTATTTCATGAAATAATAGGTGACCCCAGTGTGTACAAGATGAATAAAACTAAGCAGGAATGAAGTGTCAGGTTTGATATTATGATCTATAACATTTAAGCATCCTTCTACTTATTTCCTTCAATTTACCAGAGTTATCATGATTGGCTTGATGCAAATTAATTTTAAATACTTTTGATTGCTAATGGTCCTTCTGACTATAATTCATTAATCAGTTAACTCTAATATTGATTTCAGAAATAAGTCAAAAGTCATAGAGCAGTGACCTTTCAAATTTTTTTGAAGACAGATGCATGGACTGTAATCATAATATTGTTTTTCAGAGGATAATGATAAGGAATGTCAAGACTGAAATAATTTACAGCAAACTTTATTCTTAAATGTTTAAACACTGCATTTATATAATAATAATACTTGCAAGTTTGATTCTTGCTGTCATGCTTGGCCTCAGAAATAGCTAAACTAACTCTTAGTTATATTTAAAAATAAACTAAAAGCTTGGTGGCCTAATGAATTACTGGATTTGTATTTGTGGTAGAGGCAGCATAAAGTACTAATGGCATTGTAATCTTAGATAAAACCATAACATGGTAA